GTGACTTAAGAATAAATAAACACAGCTTGATGAGTTGGCCGTTGGAAGGATATACATGGGGCGGAAGCCAATGTGTGGATGGAGACCCAGGCTCCGGAAGGGCAGGAGTTGAAGTAGCCTGGGTGTCTGTCTGTCACCCTCCTCTCTTGCTCTGTTCCTAGAGGTCTAGGCCTGAGTGTCTGCTTGCTTTCTGAGTTCATTGTACATGACCCCGGGTAGCTTCCTCACCCCCAAGTCTTCCTCATATCCAAGCTTTAGGATTTAGGGGCAATCTACTCAAAAAAAGTTTATGGCAACATGCAGTGAGTCAGGCCAGCAGCTGGCTCCCTGTGGGTTGGGCTAATCGTACCATGTCCCTTCAAACAAGTATGAATGCAAACAGACCTCCAGTAGAGAGCTGATGCTGTCCTTGGCACAGTCTGCATGGTGTGTGGCCAGGTATTCACTGAGCTAACTCCTTAAGAGAAACTCTCCTTCCGAACAGTGAACTTGGGGACACTGCTCTGGGGTCTCAGGCTGGCCTCCAGCTCACCATGTAGCCAAGGATGACCCTGAACAACTCCTCCACAAGCTGTGTCGGGATTACAGGAGTGTGCCACCATGCCCCAAATATGCAGGGTTGAGGATCAAAGGCTTCATGAATATCAGGCGAGAGCTTTTCCAACATCACAACCTTTTTAAAAAGAGACAAGGTCTCAGTTGGAGAGATGGTTCAGCAGTTAAGAACATTTACTGCTCTTCCAGAGGACTGGGGTTTGGTCCCCAGCATCACATGGTGGCTCACAACCACCTATAACTCCAGTTCCAGGGGGTCTAACCCCCTTTTCTAGCCTCCTCAAGCACTGAACACGTGTGTACACATGCATGAAAGCAAAACACCCATACACATAAAATAAAAACAAATCTTTTTTTTTTTAAGGACAAAGTCTCATGTAGACCAAGTTGGCCTTGAACTCCTGATCCTCCTACCCTCCACTATGCCTGGCTCCTTAATACTCCTTAAAAATATTGATTGACTGACTGATTTCTTTAAAAAAATTACTTGTGTGTGTAGGTGCATGCACATGAGTGCAGATGTGTGTGATGTGTAGGTGCATGCACATGAGTGCAGATGT